ATGCGCGGAGTTCGAATCTGAGGACTATTGGGTGACCGTGTGAAGGGATGGGTGGGTGTGGGTGAGAGGTCAAAAGAACATCGAAAATTAATATCTCGAAAAAGACATTTCTATAGGTATTTCGATGCGGAGAGTTCGAATCTAAGGACTATTGAGTGGCCATGTAGAGCGGGGGTGGGTTTAGAGAATTGAAAGGTCAAAAAAATATCGAAAATTAATTTTCCCAAAAACACATTTCTAGAGGTTTTTCAATACAGAGAGTTCGAATCTGAGGACTATTGGGTGACCGTGTGAAGGGGTGGGTGTGGGTGAGAGGTCAAAAGAACATTGAAAATCAACTTTTCACCGTTTTCATTTGTTGTTCTAGTAAAAGTGAAGAAAATGCATTTCTATAAGAATGAGCTAAGCGAGTCCTAGCACGAGCGTTACTTGTAAGGTCAATTGCTTTAGACAAGCATCTAGGGATGGGGGACGTGGTTGGTGAGAATGTGGGTGTGGGTGGGGAGCTGGGTGAACGTGAGAACCAGCACGAATCGAGTTTTTGAAAAAGTGAGTGTGAGTGTGTGTGTAGAAATGTGGGTGTGAGTGTAGAACGGTAAAATACTCACACCCGCACCCAAATCTCAAACTCTACCACCAGATCCACATATACACCCGCTTGACATCCACACTCATCTACACCGTCACTAACGCCTGCTTTCTCAGAACACTTGATGAAGAGAACGAACTTGATACGAGATGACATTAAATGTAATATCAGTCGCCAAATGTAATCTGCATCACTGAGTAGTTTGGACTGGCGGACGGAAGGGACGCCAACGACCGACTACGAGGTAAATGGAGACTCCTTGAGAAAAGTATAGTGCGTTCATGAAAGAACATATTATACCTCTCCTTGAAGTATATGGTGAAAGAGTTAAGCATGAAGTCTAAAAGGGCGAACTAATAGTTATTAGGTGAAGATCAGTCGTCATTAAGCGAATGTCCTCAACAAACATTACCCGTAGATAGTATGAGTTTGGTTACAGATATTGGTTGAAAAATGAGATTTAGTTTAAAATCATACTACAAAATACACAACGTTTTTGTGCACTTTTATAATTCAAGAGGAAACATTTGCGTCCAAATTAGATATAAATTGGTGTATCGATGCTCTCAGTTTAGTATTAACAGAAAAAAGGTTTACCCGATACAGTCGAGGGTCAAGTGAGTCGCTCCGACGAGCGTTACTTGTATTTAAACATAATGATCCATATCATGCGAAAATACCAAAACAATGGTCTTGGTTTTTTATGGAAGAAAAACAAATTCTTTTTTTTATGCAAGATGGCATTCACATTGCCACCAAATTTCGAAATAGGTTGCTTTCTAAAACAGCAAAAATGAAGATTGGATCTTACTCAGTTGATATTCAAGATGTATTTGAATTAATTGAATTAGAAAGTAAAGTTGAACACAATTTAATAAAATGCGATGTTGATCCAAAAGATCGTTAGAACTTCACATCATGCTTAAGAATATCTTCTGAAAATGTTTTAAACTTATTAAAGAAAAATGAAAAAGCTACAGGAACATATGTATACTTATCTTTGTTACGGTTAATTATCATCGGATTTATTGAAAGATCAACAACAATCCAAGAACGATTACTTCATGTATGGACTGTTGTTTTTACTTGTAGGTTTGGTTTTCATGGATACAGTATCTGGAATTAAAAGATGATCGTAATAGTTCAGTAACACTATCAGATCTTAAAAAAAATACTTTTATAACCAAGCCAACTTTTTGGTGCATCGAAATAAATGCTCATTCTTTACTTTTTGTAATTCTTTTAGTTATTAATAACAAATTACCTATTGATGCACTTAATACGTTTACTTTCAATTCACAGATATGTGAGAATACTTTTCGAATTGCACGTTCATTATCAGGTACATTTTCGTCAAATACAAATTTTAGTGTAAAATCATTTTTAAAAAGATGCGAAAAAATATCAATAATCAATTCAATTAAAAATCGTGGTGGACAAATAGGAGATTATCAATTTTATTTTCCACAACACCATAAAAATCATAAAGATACAATTAATTATTCAACAGGACATGTTAATGAATTGAATTTGACTGAAAATGATATTGAAATTATTATCAAAAATGCATTTGAAGCAGCTCAAAAGTATGTTGCAATGGTTAATATGACTCAATTTTTGGAGAAAAAAAATATCTATACATTATCAGGTTTAAATACATTTACAAAAACAATTTTAAATAAATCATTATCAAAGATTATCGACTATACAATTGATGATAATAGTTCCGATGAAGATTCTGATGAAGAAAATTGTTCTGATGAAAATGATGTTTCGAATGTATTAAATAATGAAGAACAATTATCACCAAATAATACCGACGATGAAGAGGAAGGAAATACATTAGCAACTGATGTTCCTGATACAGCACAAAAAAAGTTCAATGGTTGTCGTATATACGACAAAATCAATCCACAACAATCAAAGAAATATTTTCGTATACGTATAGGTTCATCATATAAATTTATACACAAACAAACGGCTTGTTGGTTACTTACAACAGATAAACAACGATCTTCAAGTGATCGATTACTACGTGTTCAGCAATAAGGAGTAAAATAACATAAGTCCTATTTGCAATTGTTTACATTTGATTCTTCATATTTTTGTTGATGCAGCCTTTTGTGTTGTTGTTTTTCATATAATTTTTCATATTTTTCTTCATATAGTTGTTTATGTTATGAAGTATTTTTGTTATTCACTTTTATGAAATTTTTATATTTTCATATGGTACTTGTATGAGATGGAAACTTTCTTCGGTATCATTGAGAATAAATAGGCTTTTTATAAATTATTTACATATTACTGAACTTAGTTTCAAGTCAAAACAATGTCGAAATAATATTGTTAAAGTGATAGAATATTGAGCAGTATTTTTCTGCAGCAGAAGATGAATTTGTAATAGTATAACTCTAGTTCTAAGCATTACTTCAATTAATATTCATCCCACAGCTTTCTAAGCTTCACAGCACCGGCAGGTGCTGAAAAGGTGCTCAATAGGTGCTGAGGTGCTCAATAGGTGCCGAGGTGCTGAAAAGGTGCTGAGCAGGTGCTGAGGTGCTGAGCAGGTGTTGAGGTGCTGAGTGCTGGGTGCCAGCCCTTACCCCCTTGAGTAAAATCATTTGATTAATAATATTTGAAATTGTTTTTTAATAGAAGGTGAATTAAATTCTATTGAAAATTTGTCGAATGAAATCTTCTATGAAATATTTGATTATCTTGATGGTTTGGACATTTGTATAGCATTTTCAAATCTTAATTATCGTTTCCAACAATTACTTATATTTTCATCTTTTCGATATGAAATAAATTTTGATTTTTCCACAAAGAAAGAAAAATTTTTGAATAATTATAAACAAATCCAACATCAAATCTGTTCAATTTCTTTTATAATATCAAAAAAATCTATGAATATATTATTAATATCATTTCAAATTGATCGTTCATTTAATAATCTACAATCAATTCGTATTGATAATATTCCCAAAGATAAACTTATTTCATTACTTGTTCATTTATCTGAATTACCTTGTGTTCATTCATTAAATAGCCAAACAACAGATTCAATTGAAGATTTAAGTCATATTTATCAATTAATATTTTCATTGCCAAAATTAAAATCAAATGAACTTTATTTATGTGGTTGTGAATGTTCAATATCAATTCCAGTATCAAATAATACCAAAATAAGTCCAATTGAATATCTAAAAATAGCTCATTCGTATACATTTGATGAACTTAATGCATTAATATCTTATACACCAAATCTTCGTCATCTTAAGCTTTCACATATAAGTAAAGATGAGTCAGATATAGAAGATATGCTACCAGTGAATTTAAATAATCTCATACATTTATCGATATTTACAGTTTATTTGGACTTTAATAAAGTTGAATTGTTTTTTGAAAAAATGAATTCGAAATTAAAAATTTTACATGTTATTGCGTATTCAAATCGAGATATAACTTATCTTTATGCTTATCGTTGGGAAAAATTAATCTCACAAAATTTTCCTCAATTAAAAAAATTTTCTTTATGTTTTCGTGAATCAGGATATGGTCGTAGTTGTCCGATTTATGATGGAGAAATAAATCAATTCAATTCACCATTTTGGATTCAACGAAATTTGATTTTCGATATAGAAATTTATGAATGCAATATTTATTATTCTGTTCGTCAATACAAGTACAGATGGTATAATGATATAAATTCTTCTCATGAACATCCGACTAAATCAACTCAATTGACAATCAAATATGTTTATTCTAGTGAGTCTCCTTTTATTCTATTCAATCAAATTAAACGTATTTTAAATGTCACACAAATTTATCATTTAAATATTGAACAACAAATTTCTCATGAAAGATTAATGCAAATAATATATTTATTACCTGATCTTATCACAATAAATTTATATTCTTTAGCATTTTATCAAGATATTTCAGTTTTAAATCAAGTATTTCCTACAACATCTGCATTAGAACATGCAAAAAATATAAAATATGTTTATTTGGACACAGCGTCTGGTATTAAAGATATTTATGTCATTTTGTCCTCAAATGGAATATCCTAGTATTGAATGTAGAAAAAATATAAATATTGAATCAACTTTAAAAAAAATTAATCAAAAACATTATGAATATTTACATTTATTATGTATTTTTATAAAAACAGCAGATGATCAAATGATAAAACAATTAAATCAAATGATTTATGATGAAAAACTTTTATTTGATTATACAATTCATAGACATAGTTATAACATTTACTTGAAATGGAAATAAGTTTTGTTTTTTGTTAATAATCTAGAGAAAATATTCATAAATAAACTATATTGTCATATATACGAAAGGATATCTCATCTTTATTTCTTTTAAGATCATATTGAGTTTACAGCATTAAGGAATTGTTTGACAATTAAAGAGTTTTTTTATTGATAGATGTTTCCTTTGAAATTTGCTGGACACACTCCCGATTGATGAATATTTTGAATTTTTCATATATAATCTTGATGAAGATGTTTATTGAAGTTACATTTTGTTGTCAAACATATTCTATTAGTGCTCTTTATGATCAACTTCAATCATTATCTCTAGTTAATATATGGATCGCATTTGAAAATATAACTTATTTCTCTATCAACTCTCATCATTCATTAATCTTCAATTATTAACAATGAAACCAGTATGTGGAACAAGATTTTTTTAGTGTTTCAGTCTTCCAAACTTGAAACGATTAGTCATCAATTCATGTGAATATATTCCATTTTTGTAAAAATGGTTTTCTAAATGAATTAATTTGTTTTATGGGATCAATCTGTGTTGATTGTAAAGAAATCCTCTTGTTTAGTCTGAGCTGAAACAGACTATTATTCGCTCGCAATTGCAGCTAAGATGTTTTCTTTACTATATTTCCTTTATTAGTTGATTATGCTTTCATATATTGTGTTTTATTCGGTAACAACAATCATAACTGTCACAGAATCACTTATATGCCACAGAAACAAAAAACAATATTGGTATTACGGAACATGTTCAGACATGATGATAAACAGAATGTCTTAATATAAAATAAATTCAAGACTATGTTGGTTTACTGTGACAGGATGTTTTTCAACAAATACGTCGTTGTCAGTTGTTAGCGAGAAATGATCAGACTATACCATGTTGTCGGTATTTATGTGAGAAGATGCTGTCGCCCATCATCATTGCAATACTCGAGGATGAGTGTGAATATTATATTTATATCGTATCTGCACTCACCACCAACACCCACACCCCACACCCCAGTCACTTGCAAGACTTCCTGTGGCGTAATATTCGATTTTTGTAAATTAGCAGATGTAATTTCTTTGTCACTCGAAAAACATCTTTGTTTTTGTCGACTTGGTTCTATGACTTTTCCAGGTCGACGGTAATATGCAACCCGCGAGTCATTCTCATAGTAAATACAATCATAAAATTCAAGTAATGAACTATCTTCAGTATTCTAGAGTTGTACGAATGATTGAGAAATATGAAATAATTGTAAAATTATCAACAGGTTTACAAAAATATGGTTATTTTCTAAGAAAACTCTTGTAAATCGATCCTTATTTAAATGAAGTCTACTATGACAAGCTATTGACTGACTGATTACTTTATTTTTTTGACACAATGAAAGTTTTTTATTATTAGATAACTGTTTTATCAACATCGTTTTTTTTAATAAATCTACTCAGTAACATTGCACAGATGGAAACAAATTGAATTCTACTATGTTGACTGTCTACCAATACACTTAATCAAATTTTTATTATCAAAACCGACCCTAACTGTGCTACGATTTCTATCATTCATAATGAGTTACATCTTCAGAATCTGAGCGGATATGTTTTGCATTATCTCGATCCTCACCCGTCCTCAAGTTTAGCTGAAGCACTATCATAGAGTTTCATCCAGTCTTATGAACAAACTTCTTGTTCATTAACATATTGACAAAATTTCCATATTCATTTTTCTTTTTTCACTGATTCATATTGTTCAATCGATTGAGTCGCCCGTTTTTTGTCTAAATTTTCCAATTTTAATAACCATTATTGTCCGTCACGAGTAAATAATGTTGTTGTTTGTTGATTAATAATCATTTTACTCCATAGAACAAATCGATATGCATATCATGACGAACCTTTTTTGGTACCATACGTAGGAGTAGCTGAATTTTGTTCAATATATAATAGAATACGATAAAGACTACTTGTATCTTCTTCAATAGATGTTTCAGATTGATATATAATATATGTATTACGATAATTTATCCATTGAGGATGGGTGTGGGTGTGACGCTGAAGGTGATGATGTTATGAGGATGAATGGGAGGGTGTGGGGATGATAGAAATAGTCTCACCTTCACTGTCACTCATACTCACACACTCACCCACAGTCACACACCCACACCCACAGCTACACCTACCTACACCCATACCCGTGATGATAAGATCAATGTTGTTAGTGAATAAATGATTATTCTTTATTTTCTCCTTTCAATAGATAGATGATGATGGTGTTGATCAAGTTCTAGTCTCAGTTAATGTTATTTATTGGAGAAAGACCGCTCATAGATGTTGACGACTGTAGTAGCTACTTTCGCTTTGATCTTTACTGTTACGTATGGTCGAATTTTACTTTACAATACTGAGAATAATCAAACAATTGAAAAATTCGATTGTCTATATTATATTTACGATGATGGTGAGGAAATTTCATATTGTCGACGCCTAAATGGAACTGAACGGCTAGATCGAAATAGGAGTGAATGTGAAAATCAAGGAGTAAGACTATTGTTCCGTGATCTACTCAATAAAAACGTTAAACCAAGCGATATTCTTAACTGGAGTTCAAGTGTAGAGATGGTCGATATTTATGCTGGTTTGTTCGTTAATCGGTCGTTAAATGAAGACGACAATGATCAATCTATATGCAATTGTACAGAGTCGGGAACATTCGGAAAATATTGTGAGTATCAGTTAACTCACGATGCTAAATCGTTCAGTGAAGCCATCAAGGCTCAATTTAAACAAAAGGGGGATGATGATTCATGGAATACTCAACGGTTTGGAAAGATTCTATGCTATGAGACACTACCTTGTGATGGTAGTGATCTCTGTCTTGATTGGCGAGAGATTTGTGATGGCACTCAGAGATGTTCTAGTGGTATCGATGAAGAAAATTGGGATAAGTTAGAATTCAACGAATGTGAGGATGATGAATTTCGATGTACAAACGGCATGTGCATTTCAGAAGAATTTTGGCTGGATGGTGAGTGTCTTTACGTGTAAAAATTAAACCTATTCATGAAAACGCTAGTCTTTTTTAGGTGATTACGACTGTATGGATTGGAGCGACGAAATGAATAAAGACGATGGAAGCTCATGCCCTCTGGAGCCGAAATCATTGGAGTGCGATGAACATATGTGCCATCCCAATGCGTACTCATGTGGTGATGGGCAATGTGTTCCATGGCGGACTCGAATGGCACTTCAAAGATCCATTCCAAAAACTGATGACTGTTTTAACAAGCGCAACCTAAATTACATGTGCGAGGCGAGTTCGAATCGATTTGCTTGGACACTTCAAAGTGGATTATGTTGGCCAGATATAGGCTACGACGATCCCCGATATTTACCATGGAATATGATGAACTCTTCAGAACTAAGCAAAGACGAAATATGTCAGTATCTATTCCGATGTGTTTTGTCAGACGGTTTCGAGCGTGATTGTCCATGTAAGCGCCATAACTGCACACAATTGATGATGATCGTGTGCCCTGCAGGCGACCGTCTCATTTTATATCCACCGCAAGAATTAATTAACGCAAATATCTTATTCTCATACAACTACAGTCGATCTATGGAAAATCCAAATGTTGACTTTGTCGTACTTCGAGGGAACATAAAATGCCGAGGATATCATCTCAAGACTGAAAATCCTGTGGTTCAAAAATTCTTGACTGTAGTAATTGTATATCCTCGTATCAATAATTTTCTTTGTGATCCAGATGACTCTCAGATAGGTCAGAAGGATTTTTTATCACCTTTGCAATATGACAATGTCTGTTGGAATAACTCACTAACATTTAATGGTCGCCCGTATGCTGTCAATCCTGACGCATGTGATTTTGGACAAGAATGCATCTCACAATATCGAATTCATGACGGCTTTCAGGACTGTCTGAACAACGAAGACGAAAGGATGATCTTTGAAAACAACTATTGCACAGGAAGCATCGGGCGATATCGATTCCAGTGTTTTAATGATCAGCATAAATGCCTTCCACTGCATTGGATAGGTACAGGAACCTCTGAATGCTCGAATAACTATGACGAAATGTGGTATGGGTTTGGTGATTCTCTTGGAAAGAACAGCAAATGTGGGGAAAGTGATATTAAAGATTGTGACCGTTGGAAAGAGTACATTAAACAATCGTCAATCAAGAGTTCCACTGAGAATAGTTTCCTCGACAATTCACATCAGCAGACACCAATTTATCAAGTATCATTTCGATCGTATTGTGATAGTTTCTGGGATATGAACGAGCACATTGACGAATTGAATTCGTCGTGTCAATATTGGGTATGTCAAAACCATCAATATCAATGCCAAACAGGACAGTGTATTGATGTCAATTGGGTTTGTGATGGGGAATGGGATTGCGAAGATGCGTCGGACGAAGAGGCTTTCGTGCTCATTAAAACATGGTCTAGTCACAATGATCGTCTCTCAGGTTTGAATGATCGAATCAAACAATGTCGAAAACGATATTCTCAATCACCATTTTTCACCAGATGTAATACTTCGTTTGAATTCGGATGTTATCAAACACAAGTAACAAATCCACTAGACATTGAATCTAATCGTCCATGTATCAATCTTACTCAAATTGGTGATGGTGTGGAACATTGTGTCAATGCCTACGACGAAAGAAATACACTAGCAGTGAATCCAGGCACTCTGGAAATGTGGGGTGTTTATTTTCGTTGTGGAAATTATACTAGGGAATATCCATATGTTTGCTTACTAAAAAAAAGGGCTAACTGCACCGAGATTCTTTGCTCAAATCATCGAGACAACGATGGATCATGCTCCGGTGCTAAAGATGTCATTTCTGAATTATTCAAAAATAACAGCATCTTGAATTTTTCGATTATCCTATTTTATTCTCTGTGTAATCACCATTAAAGGTGGCACTTTATCTCTACTCTAATAGTTAAAGTAAAGTTATTCAAAGTAACTTTTCGATTGTTACATTTTGTAGCGAGCAATAACCACGCTAAAAACATCAGAATTCCTTCAAAATTTATTTTTCGATTAATTGAACTCATAGACTTCATGTTTTAGGTTTCTATTTTAACAAAAATAAAAGTTTTCAATATTTGTATACATGACAGAAAATACTACAATGTAGTGCGGTCAATACACGATGTTGAACCAGAAAATCGAAAATAAATTTAAACTACTATACTTTACTTTTTGGGTAAAGTAGAACATTTATCTCGAAGATGCTTGTTTTGCGCATCATCTCTCGCTCCAGTGATGATGCCATTTGTGAATGGATTCTTGTCTCAAAAATAATCAATGCAAGCGGAATGCAAAATGCAATGGAATACCAGAGTGTCCTGACGGAGAAGATGAATACTGGTGTGCTTCTGGTTCATTTCGTAATCAACTTTATTATCGAAGCGACAAACAAGAAATCTCCATCCTAAACAACAAACAATTTACCTTCGTTTCACGGTTTCCAGTTACGCCTATAATATTACCCAATGACCGAAAAGTTCGTGATATTAGCATCAATCTCACAACAACAAATCCTGCTCTGACTGTGTATTCGTACCAATGTAACCGAGGTATAGCCATTCTTCAAACTAATGAGACTGTGTGTCTCTGTCCGCCAGCTTACTATGGTCGTTGGTGCGAATTCTTCAGTGATCGAATCACCATGATTGCAAATATCGATCAGAAAGCGTTGCCGAAGATACTAGTGAACATCACACTGCAAGTGAAAACCACGTTACTTTTCAATCATGAGACAATCGATCACCATGAATTTATTGTTATTCCTTCAATCGAAAAACTCAAGAATATCAAACATAAATTCTATCTTCTCTATTCCCGATCTGCTTATATGCTTAAACATAAGCGATGGCGCTATTTCAATCGAACTGATGTAATCAATAATCATCCATACTCTGTTCATTTTGATATCTTCTCATTGAGGACGAATAATAGTATCAAAGAAGTTGGATCTTGGCATTATCCAATCTATTTTGACTATTTACCAGCTTTTCGTTTTGCCGTGGTTTTGAAATTTCCGTCTTGGTTTGGAAATGCAACATCTGAGCCGTGTTGGAATCATAGCTGCAATGCGAATGCTACTTGCATGCCAGTTTTCAATCGAAACAATTCTTACTATTGTTCGTGCAAAAGTGGATATTATGGGAAAGATTGTAGCTTGTACGAACCCAGTTGTGAGAGTTACTGTTCAACTAATGCACTTTGCCGGCACGATGGTTCTGATCTGCAGGTTAGTAGAATCAACTTTTATTGCATCTGTCCGCTAGGTCGTTTTGGACCACATTGCAATTTGCAATACGATGAGTGCAATTCGAATCCATGTCTGAGCGATGGAACTTGTGCTCCTAATTATGATATGAGCGGAGAAGCATCGTACATATGCATCTGTTCACAACGATTCTATGGAAATCAGTGTCAGAATACGAAGGCATCTGTTCACATTAATTTAAACATAGCAAATATATCGTCTGTTCGTGCAACTGTTGTTCAACTTTACAATATTGGGAAACCTTCTTTTTTGCTTATCATGCAACACGGAAAAGTTTATCATGGCGTGCCATCGGTAGTTCAATACAATCATGCTGATTTTTATGCACCATATGTTGGAGTTCTCAAAATTTACGAAGATTTCGCACATCCAAAATATTTCATTATGTATGCTTTGCTTCAAATGATGATCAATATCACCTCATCACCAGAACACTGTCCACATGTTTCATCGCTGTTATCCGAGTGTAAGTTCTAAGATAAATTGAAACTTTCAATTGATATGATATTACTTTTTAGTTACAAATAGTTCCGTACCAATCGTCTTCAGATATCATCACATCTGTCAAAATGATAATCAAAGTTTCTGTTTTCATGATGAAAACTATTTATGTATATGTGATTCAGATAATTATCGTGCCGAATGCTTTATTCACAATCCACAAATAGATCATTGCGGTAATTGTCTCTCTGGAGGAAAGTGTCTTCAAGGTGATCCAGTCGACCCCAACGACTTCACTTGTTTTTGTCCTTCTTGTCATCAAGGACATAGATGTGAATTGAACATGCAAGCCTTTGGCTTCACTCTAGACTCACTTCTTGTCGACTACTCGAAAGAAGTTAAGATCGTCTTTGTCGTTCTCGCTTTCATAATTTTCATCCTTGGACTATTCAATAATCTTTGCTCGTTTGTAACGTTCAAACAACCTGCTCCTCGAAAGTTTGCTGTCGGTAAATATTTATTAATTGTCACCTGTTTCAATCAACTCGCTTTGCTCTGTCTGCTCTTCAAATTCATCCAAATCACTTTCGGTATCTCTTATGTGGGATCGTGTAAAGCAATTTCTTATATTTTCACCGTCTTTACACGATCGACATACTGGCTAACCAGCTGGATTACCATTAATCATCTTCTCATGGTTCTATTTCCAACATCGGTTTCTATCAAAAATCCTCGTCGAGCTATCGGAATAAGTACTGTTACATTGGTCATCCTTCTTGGTATGCATGTGCATGAAATAATATATTACACAATCATTGAACACATTCACATTAGTTCATCCATCTGTGTGACAAACTTTGACACCTCTGTGGTCTCGATCTACAATCGAGTCTCTACTCTTATCCATTATCTTCTCCCGTTCTCTATTCAAATCACCTCCATTACCCTCTTGATTGTTCTCGCTGCACGCAGTCGACTGAAGACGGCTGGAAAAAAGATAACCTTTGGTCAAATATTGAAAAAACAGTTTCAAACTCAGAAAGAGCTCTATGTTACTCCAACGATTATTGTTATCTCTGCTCTGCCTCAAACCATTCTCACATTCAGCTTGGCATGTACGCAACTGGCCGACTGGCAGCAGCACACATTACTTGGGGCCTATATATTGTCATACGCCCCACAGGTACTCGGCTTCATTCTCTACGTATTGCCATCGACCAGTTATAGGAATGAATTTGGAAAGACATCATTCGGCAAGAAATTCTTCAAATCGATGTTTGATCAAGGGAAGAGCCAACCTGTCGTTTCAAAGACACCAAAGAAGGCAAAAATAATGGCATGAATAACTGTTTTTGTTTATATCGCTTTAAGGATGTGAGTGTCGATGTGCTAAGCAAAATATGACGCGTTTTGATCTTGCTTAAGGGTCTATTTAGATGGCTTCAACTTTGTATTCCCTCGAAATGAACAAGAAGACCACAAGTACAATACATAATCTATAAACTTCAGCGGTTAAAATCTTCGGTATGAGTGCGAGTGTGGATCTGGGTGGGTACGAGTGTAGGTGTGGATGTGAGTGTGATGTGGATATGGGTGTGAGTGTGAGCGTATTATGTCTGTGATAAACACACTCACGCTCATCCGCCCACACCCACACTGAAGACTCTTCTGTTGTAAAACTCGTTTTATTTAGTGTATGAATATTGGAACTAACTCCGCTGAAAAAGTCTCATTCGCTATGATACTCATTCTATATAATCTATGAATACTTCAATTAGATTCACTTAAATAGAGTTTTTCTTTGCGTGAGAAGTAACTTAATGAAATGAAATCGAGTATGTGGGTGTGGTTAATACTCTTAGCACCATTCACACACTCAACCTACACCCACACCCACCCTGCATCAAACTAAACAGATTTAACATTTTATTCTAATGATCAATTTTATTGGCGTCATATGTTATGTTGATTTTCCATATATAGAATATATATTATGGGTATCAGAGAAAATCTTTTGACAAATGTTGATTTTTCTCGATTTTGTTTTCCCCAATTCAAGTGACACAAGAAAAAAAACTGGAATTGTGTTGACCTTCGAATAATAAGTTATCTTAATTCAGCGTCAAATATCTTGTCTTTTGAAATATTAAATAAATGTATGTATTATAGATTGCCAAATACTGTTTTACTAAAGTTGTATAGCTACTATTTTGAGAGTGTTAATGTCAGGAAACTCTTCTTTTGAATAATGAAGAATTTAAGCATCCAGCTATCTGCCGTAAAATGTTATAAGCAATATGCCTACCTGCGTTTTTTAATAATTATGACAGTAGTATCCTAGTATATTTTGCGGCTCAACCAGAAATTAAAAAGAGTGTGAATATGTTTTGATTAGACTCCACTAGAGTCCTGCACGGGTGCACTTTTTAGTACCCGAAACCGAACCGGC